TCAGGAGAGGCCGAACCACCCCACCTGGACTTGCTGCCGGCCTGAAGCAGCTCCTCGCTCCAAGCACACGCTCGTCTGAACAGTAATTTCTAATTTTATTTTTTTCTTTTCAGAGGCATTAGAAATATCCATACAGATTAAGAAACTGGAAGAAATTCTATTTTGACAATTCAAAGCAATGCAGTATGAAGGATTAAAGGGATGGCTTGCTGGCACTGTTTTCTAAACAGTGTAAGCCATCAGTTGAAAGACAAGTGATTGTCACGCTGTTGTCACTGTATCTTTATTTTGGTTGCCAAGTGTGGTGGCAGTGTACCAACAGTCTGACTGCTGGAGTTGTTCATGGTGATGCTCAGTAGCCACACAGGCTTTCCAAGGGCATGTGTGTGTCTTGTGAGACTAAGATGGACCTAATTAGAGTGTTGTGCCACTCCACCGGCAAGCTGTGGTGGTTACTTGGAGTTACTTGTTGGTTCATCAAGTCTTCAAAGTAATGACAGATTGGACAACTGAAGAGACTTGATTTTGCTGATAAATGGCTTTCATCAGCCAACGCATGTCCTAATTCTAAAGATAAATTACTGTTTTTTTCCTTTGGGGAATTTGGCAAGTGTTGTATGGTGACCCTGGCCATGCCCTCTTTGGGTTGTAAACATGGATCCAAAATGGTGGGTTCTGGCAGGGACAGGCCCCCGGGGTCTCGGCAGTCTGCGGCAGTGCTCTCCTGCTGTGACCAGAGCCCTGACCTTAAGTTTAACTGAGAGGAAAACATGTCAGCAAGTTCCCCAGAGCATGGTGCATGAGCTCTGGTTAAAGGCTGTACCCTGCTGGGGTACTCATCTCCCCAGCGATGGCTGTTTGTTAGGAGCAGCGTAATTGTCCTGCAATCAGTCATCCTTCGTACTGGAGCTTGCTTTAGGTAAAACGGTCACGCCTCTGTTTAACCTTAATCTCAGCTGGTGCTGCCTGTACTTCCCCTCACCCCAGTAACAATAAAGGCAGTGGTGAGGTTGCCCAGCGGGTTGGTATTTCTTTGGTTTACTTCCCCCAAGGAAATGTTGATGCTTTCTGCTACTGGCTCAGCAGTGGAGTTCCCTGAATCAAATATCTTTTGTCTGTTTTAGGTAGCAAGTGAACTTAAGAGATGAATTTGTTACCGGCTTTGGGAATCTCTTCAGTCTGGACTCTGTCAGGCTGTTGCCTTGCAAGCAGAAGGATGTCATGTGAATTCTGCAGCTACAGAAGTAATTCTTTCTTACCGTACTTAAAAATGTTGAGGAAAGCCACCTGAGATCTAGATTTGTGAAGCTGTTTCATAGCTTGTAAAATCCCTTATAGATGGAACAAGGAGGAATGCGATTGTTTGCATGTGGGGTTAAGAGGTTGAAATTCTAACAAAAGGCATTAGCACAGCTAGAAAACCTCTGACTTGCTCCCCACAACAAAGCAGGTGCAATGCCAGAATCCTGAAGGAATCGGAGGGGAGAGGTTTGTAATGGGATCAGAGAATTTAACTGGGGAGAGAAACAAGTCTTCTGCTTTGAAGAGTTAGCAGATGCTACTTGGAAGTGAGGGACTACAGTGAAGAACAGTGTGTTTGAATCGCTGTTCCTGCTGGCATGTAACTATTGGTCTGTGGGAATATATTCCGAAGGCAAAGGTGACTACAGCAGTGAACTTCACCTCTAGAAAGATACTTGGTGTCTGGGGTTTGAGTGGAACAACAGGGAGGGGCTGGCATTTTTGTGCCCAGAGAGCTTTTTTTCTCTTGTTCCTGGCTATGCTGAATCCATTCTGTGCGTAACAGTTAAAAACAAGGGTCTGCTCTGATGTATACAACCGCATCTCTTGAGAGAAACTTAACAAGTCCCTTTGTTTGATACCTGGAGAAAATTAGCGCAGTTGTATCACAGGTAGGGAATTGCTTGCTGGCATAATGATGATAACTCTTTGCCGTTTACCCAGCTGAATTTGTGATGAGCAATGTTATATCTGATGTGCCAGCTAATTTGTAGGATTTTTCTAGTTTGATTTGCTACCATCATTTCTGATATTACTTGTTCTTCTAAAGCTGCTATGACATCAGATGAGCTTCTCCGCTGTCTTTGAGCCTTGTGTATACGCATATAGCCAACAGAAGACTCCATCCACTTCTGGAAGTATGGCCATTTAAGAAGGTAAGTTGGTGTTCTTCCTGTGATACTACAGTGCTGTGGCTCCAGTAAGCTAGGCAGGTTGGGAAGGCCTGTACTGGCCACGTTTGCTGTCTGGAGCTGTGCTGGTTTACAGTAGCAGTGGGTGTGGCCTGTTAGTCGTGGACACTTTTGGACTACTGACTGACTTTGCTGTCCTTTGCTTCTGGTACTGCTACTAGTCTTCTAATTTTTGCTTAAAACATCAGAGGAGAAGCTGGGGGGGAGAGGTAAGGATTAAAAGTTGTGTTCTTCATGCAGATTTTTTTTTTCCTAAGGATATACATTCCTTAATATGGCTTGTCAAAAATTGATTTATAAAGGAATTCTATTTAAATCTGTTGAAGTAATTTTGCTGGCATAATGATGAAATCTTTGCCGTTTACCCATCTGACTTTTTTGATGTGTATCTTTGAATCTGAAATGCCAGTAAAGTTAATAACTTTGTATAAGATTAAGCATACAGAAAACTGACTAACTTCTAAATTTATTTTTTTAGCTTGAAAACAGCAGCCTGAAATGTGGAGTTCTGATGCACCTGGAAATGCTTTCATGGCCCTTCTGGCTCCTCAGAAATACTGCTTGGTTCAATAGTAAGCCAGAGGAGTAGCTGTTTAGTGAAAACATGTGAAATAATGCTCAAATGAAGCTCAGGTGAGAGTGTCACTCTAGAAAGGGAAGTGGCCTTGTGGACACTCTTAAATATTCATACTAGTTCTAAGTGTACCAAATAAATTGATCAAAATTGAATAAATCAAGGATTAAAACAGAGGAAAATCTATGTGTTATCTTGTCTAAATGAGAGTGTTTACGATGTTAGTGGTGGCAGCTTTTCTGCTTATCTTCAAGGCAGTGTGTGTATGAATAAAATACTGGATTTCTGTTTTCAATGACTAGTTTTTTGTTGAGGCTATGTGAGCAGTAGCACCATGATTGTGCTGGATGACATCCTGGGTAGGAGTCACACCAAGCCTTTGGTATTTAGCTTGTTCAGATTTGACAGGATGTCTGTGCAATTTTTCTCTGGCTTTTTTGTTATTAACATGGACCTCTTGGATGTAAAACATGCTCAGTATTTTGCCTACTGCCATATCCTTACTAGGATGATAAAATACAGGAAAGTGTGTAGTTGAAGCATACTGTATCTCAGATACCTCATCGTCTACCACACCACTGAACACTTGTTTTTGCAGTACGATAGAGTAGAACTCACTGAGCTACCAGGTTGTCTAATAACATTTTTTCACTTTCCTGTAGAGTTCTACTATCCCCTGCAGTCTACATAAAGTAATGCTGAAATATCAGTTGATTTCCACATTGCAGCACACTGGCATCCTGGTCTAATATTATGTTCCTGTGATATAAAATTAAGATGTAGAACATCTTACCTTTGTACCTTTTAGAACATGAATAATAATTCAAGAAAGTTGGCTTACACTAGAGTAAGAGTTTTAATGTACTTAAAACTATTTAACCCTCATTGGGTGATACATTTGAAAAGAAGCAACAAGGAAAAACTGCAGAGAGTTCATGTAGTTGAAATGAAACAGTAGATTTTAAACTCCTGGTTTAATTGTTGCTTGTAGTATTCTTAAAAACCCTGCTTTAGTCCTTCACTTAACTGTGGATGAACAGCGGTAGCCAGGAAGAGAAGTTCAGGTGGTGGCTTTATTCTGAAGCTGTGGCCTCGCAGGATGAAGACGTGACTCCTGCCTTCAAACAATGCTGTCAGAAAACTTGTGATTGAATCTTGTCAGTTTTGCTTTATTCCTTAGCAAAACAGCACTGAACTGTCTTACAAAAATATTAAAAACTTTTAATTGTATATTTCTAACTGCAGTCTCAAAAAGCCGAAGTAGAAGCTTCAGGCTTTACTTGTAGAGTGGAGTTTTCACTCCTCATTAGTGTTCATGTGAATGCCTGGGCCATATGCACCAATGAACTTTAGCAGTTGATGGTGACACTGCCTTAGGTAACTATCTCTCTGTTGCAGGGAGTTCTCATCACTGAGGTCAAATGGAAATACAGGATTTGGTGTTATGCATAATGCAGACTTGCCTAAGCAAAGAAAAAAAAAATCAAGACATGCTAAAAGACTTGATAAACCTTTGCTGTGACTTTGAAAGGAAAAAAGCTGTGACATATTACTTAGTAATGCAATCTTGTATGTTACTAGTTAAGTGTTAAATCATAACTGTCTCACTGCCAAATCTGTGTGTGAACAAATGTGATTGTGATGCTAGATCAACAAAAAAACCCCCTCAACCCTTGTCTTTTCTTTCCCCAGGGAGGGAAATCTGTCTTTAGTTTAACCTGGACTAATGTTAGATGAGCAATGCCTCACATAAACCAGCATAAAGGATGGTGGCTTGGTGCTGGCCTGTGGCCTAATTATGTACAGCACTGAGACTCACTGCAGGAAAGTCAACTGAGACTTTTCTGTTAGCAGTCTTCAACAGGGGAAATTCTGGACTTTGATTTGAAATTAACTATTATTGCAATCAATCAATAGAAACTTTTTTCAAACTAAAATATGAAAACAATGTACCCAAGACTAAAGACTGAGTTACAGTATTTACCGTGTTTTAGGGTAAGAGATGATTCAAGTAACAAGATGGCAATCAATGCATCCTCCTCAAGTACTTTCTTTCTTAAACTTAGTTTAGTATGAGCCTTAGACAGTGAAATCCTAAAGAGATGAATAGAAGCATGTCAGAAATAAAAAATATTGCAGACATGAATGCAATATGTATTGCCCTATTTCAAGCAATAACACTGGAGTGGGATTTTTCCATACTATCTGTTGTTAATACACTTTTTTTTGCTTGCCTAATACACAGCTGTGTAATTTAAATCCCTTTTTTCTTTTTCTAGATAGCTTTAATAGTGATAAACCCAGTGATTTAAGAAACAATTTTGTATGGCAAAGTTCTTTGCACTTTTTTTTTCAACATCAATATATAAAACAAATGGTATTCATAAATGGTTACTAAGATTCTTTATGCTTGAACTTTTCAAAACTTGAGAGTCTTGTCTAGATTTAACAAGCTCTTGAGCAAGGTAGCACAATTTCTATTTGAAACGTAGATGTGTTTCCTTTACCGTGAAAGGCAGAACGTACAGAATTTTTAGTGCAGATGCTGATAACGTTGATCCATGAGTAGAATCTCTTCTCACTCTGCGACTTGCAAGATAGTAGCCCTGAATGAGGTTTTCTGCTTCTGAGCTCAGTTCAACTTGAAGATTTTTAGCAAACAAAATAAACTAGAGAGAGGGTATACATTTTAAATATTTAACTGAAAAAAAAAGAATTTACATTTTTCACACCTTTTAACATACCACTGGCATAGTAATATAGTTTGGACAATATATTCTACCAGTAATTTTAATAAAGACAGCTGTCACCATTCAGCTATGTGAGGATGGATCTCAGATACTAAATAGAGATATTGACAGTTTATTTAGAATTGAATATTAACTTTTACTACTGATGTAAACTATTCTTGTCAAAAGTAGGTATTGGAGGTCTGTTCTCATGAATGTTAATCTAGTATGTTTTTCAAAAACAGAATCAAACTGAACTTACTATGCTGGCCCTTTTAAAGAACTGAAGCTAATTTTATCAGCCTATTAGTGCTACTGGGAATATGGTGGAGGGAAAGGGTAGGAAGTGAGTATTAACAGGTTTAAAAATAACCAATCGGAATGCGATTCCAGAAATAGTATGATATTCCCAAGTATAATGCATTTGTAAATTATTGAGTAGTATCTGTACCTCCTCATAATCCTGCATTCTGAACTGCTGTGAGACTTTGTACAGCATGGCTTCAGGATTAATGGCTTTTTTCAAGATATGACGCACAAGAGGAGAAGATAGTTGACATGAAGGAAACTCGTTGTATATCAAAAGCCCAAAAACGTCTAAAAGGTTAGGTGGAATCAAATTCATGTCCTAAAGAGAAGTCCCAGACAAAGAAAACAATTGCCTTATTTTGGCGTTTTGAAACATTGCAATTTTTTCAATCGGAAATGTTCAATATCCATATATATGGAGTCTTGCAAGATTATCTAACGAATTAGCTATAATATATGCAGTAAAATTTTGTTTCAACAGTTATTTGTCAAAAGTTATTCTGAATAAAATAAATGATACCTACTTTTGGAAAAACTAGCTCATTTTAGAAGATACTTGATTTGAAGTCACTGAAGTTGTGACTTTTTGGGAAATACTAACAGATTTGATTGTTTTCATTAGTTTATAAGTTGAAATAACCATAAATACAGATGACTGCTATAGTACAGTTACTGGCATAACAAGGCATGTGCTTTACCATCTGTCCAATTAAAAAGTTATCCTTTTGTATATGTTTCTTTGAGGAAGAATCTACAAAAGACCAAAAATTTGTCTGAACTGAAATAGTAACTTGTTGGTCAGCCTCTTCTCCGTACTTCTTCCCAGGAATGAATACTGTTGTTGTTCTGCTCTCTAGCACTAGGATAGGACAAAATATGTCAATTATGTAATTGATCTAGTTTAACTATAAATTCTAGTCCTGCATTGTCATGACAATTCAGTGAAATACATAATCCTGACTTTGCATGAGCCTGGCATTTCCATACCAGCAGTTGTGAGGACTGCGTATGTGAGTGCCTGAATCCTAGGATTTATGATCTAGCCTTCTAAGGAAGCGTGATGAATACACTTAAATTGCTGTCAGTCAATGGATCTCTGTAGTGTAGGCTGTGTAGCAAATGTATGCTGATGGGACCTTGGCTTTTTTGTCCTTGTTTCTTACACAGACTTCTTAAAAATAGCTAATGGATTTTCCCAGCATGTGAGGAACAAACCTAGCCATCATTTTGCATGTTTGTTTTGTTCTGTCCCCTCATTTGTTAGTAGGTGTGAGATTACCGGACTGTAGAGATTCAAGTTTATCCTTTTTATATGAAGATAAGTCTCCTATGTAACAGATACCACCCTTAGCCAGCACAGCGCTGCAAGCTTGAATACTAGCGCTTCCAGTTCCGTGTTTATCTTTGGACACAGAAGGAAAAATTTCACTAGAAGGTGGGTGTCGTATGCCACGAGGCAGAAGACATAGGCTGTAATTCAGAAGCCTAGAGGATTAAATAATTCTGTCAGTCAAATTGTTAAATTATTGTTCAGTTTGAAAAACTTTAACAATACTATACTTTATAATAATATTTATATGTATTAATACTCACACACAACAACAACAAAAAAAATCCCTTAACTTCAAACTAGTGTCAAAACTAAATGTTTAAAGTAACTTTGAATACAAAGGTAGAAGTCCAAGCTTTCTCTCCAACTGCTGCCAACAGGACTGTATTTCTTAAGGATTGCATTTCCCAAGGATGAGGCAATCATGGTTTACAGTAGAAGTAACTCCTAGGAAGTCAAAGAAGTCTCATAATTTAACCCCATATTGTTAACTCCTGTTCCTATTCTAGAGAAACTTTTCCAGTGATTTAAAAGGGTGGAGGATTAGCAATCCTGGGCATCTGGGAAAAATGAAAAGGCTGGAAACTTGCAAGCTCTGCCTGCCTGGGTTACACACACCCAATTCTTGAGAAAGCAGGAACAGAATTTCTTTTTCATGCCCTGTACTATGTTCCTTGGCACAAAGAAGTTGCAAATTGTCTGTCAGGTTCCACAATCAAAGGCTCCTAACGATTTTAAGAGGTCAGAGCACGATTTATCCTACTGTTAATAACTGGGAGACAATTATTAATTAAAATTAATAAGACTAAATAGGCTATCATACCAAGAGAAATACGATGTAGGAAATGCCTACTTTGACAGGCTACTGACAATAAAATACTATGTGTACATGCAAGACAATATACATGACAGTACTGACCAAGATTTACAGTGTGCCACTGTTAATATTAACCAGATGGTTTGATTCTCAAAATACTCTGAGTTCCTATGCTTTCTCTTAGGAAATCTTAGTCTTAACCTGGGAGAAAAAAAATTCTGCAGCCCACGTTTTTTTCAAATTTGAACTAATTTCTACAGCTAAATTTTGAAATGGTTAAGAAAGTATTTTTTTCCACAACAAAAAATACTAATGAATTTGTTGAAGAACTCTCAATTGAAAATAAAATTCATGGCACTTCAAGGAACTTTTCCATAAAAATGAAGCCCTGTTTTGAGTTGGGGAAGGAGAAAGTAACTTTGTTTAAATTAATGTAAATTTAAAGCTGAGCATGTTTTACTTTTCTGCAGTGTATGTGAAAATGTGTTCACAGTTTATAGTTGTATGAAGGAGTAAATACATAAAATGCATAAATACAGAAAAACATTTTGTTAAGGGCAACAACAGCCACATTTATGACCTATGTGTAAAGATGTAGATGACTTTTGATACCTTATCAGTATAGTTTTTATGAAAAAGAGTGACAAAAATGTAACATCTATTTACACACTGCTTATTAATGGAAAACGCTGACAGCTGGGAAGTGGCAATGAAAAGGCTTAAAGTGACACAAGATTTGAAAAGTAAAGCCCTTTGCTTTTGTCATTACCAGCTTCTGGGACAGTCTTCAGTTCTGATTTGAGAAGAATGTTTTGTTTGAGCTCTGCTAAACAGTGCTAGTGTTAAAATCTTACTGAGATCATTACGAGAGTGTTAAGGGGGTTTATTATTAGTGGAGTTCTGATCTAGATTTATCTAGATTTAATAAAAATGTCCCAGGGATAAAAATTGGGTATTTTTACTAAGTCAGAGCCCTGTATATTCTTTGAAAATACAGTCTCTTTAGCCTTTCATGTAAGACCGATCCTATTATCTTTAAAAATACTCACGTTTTTAATTCTAATTTACATGAAAAATAAGGAATCTCTTTACCTATCAATTACTAGTGTGTCGCTTGTCACAATCAACAGATCCAGATAATCTGCATTTTCTTTTTCACATGTCTGTACTAGACTCATCAATATTGCAAGTTTAAGAGTATTGTAAGTGCCTGGTGGGACAACTTGAGAAGCAAACATATTGGCAAGGATGGCAGTAAAACTCCAGCATGAACTTGACGTCAGTGAGAACAGATACTTAAAATTGTCACAGACAGAAGAAGGACCTAATTAAAACAAAGTACATGTTAACACTTCATAAGAGAGCTATGCAGATATATTAGAACAAAACACCATTCTAGTCTTGTTACAAAACTTACAAAGAACTAATATGCTTATATATTAAGCACAAATTCAGAATGTAAACATCTGACACTACTAATTTTAGCACTAATCAGGCAGCAGACACGATCTGCTAAAACTGATGGAATAAGAAAGGAGTAACAGACTGAAATATCAGGTTCTTTTAGTGTATGATTTCAAAGTACCTTCCAATGGATAGGAGAAGTTGGAAAGAGAAGGTGAAGAATGGCAGTAAATAATGATGTAGTTTCCCAATGCATGGAAATGGGGCAAAAGAAGATACTCTCAGATAACAATTAGCATCCATTTCAGACTGTAAGAGGAAAGTCCCAGGGTGGTTTTGTAATCTGGACCTCCAGATAATCGAAAACCATACCAATTCTCAAGATTTTGTTAGAGAAGGTTTTCCAACTTTTTTAGCCAATTTTTAATGGAACTTTCTTACCATTTGGTTTACAGAGCTGTACACTATTGACTTCTATACATGCTGTAGCTTGTAAGCCATGCTGTACACAAGCTGGAATTCCTATAATCTTGTAGTGGTTTCCTATTTTCATTTTGTTGGCCAGTTCATCTAGAAATTAAAAAAAAAAATGGGAGGGGGAAGAGAACCTGCAGATGTGTTTGTTAGGGCATAAAACCAGTTTTAAAGACCTGAAGAAAACTTTTCTTCACATTATGGAATTCAATTTTATGAATTAATTGCACAAAACAACAGTTGGATGCCAGGTTCACCACAATGGACTTGAACAAAATGAAGCATACAATTCTAATTAATTAGTGCATAAAGTAAGGAAGGCACACTGGGTGAGGAAAAGTAGATTCCTGATAAAGGATGATGCATTTAGTTCTGCATTGAAAAAAAAATGGACAGTCGTTTGCAAGTATGCGTTCCTACTTTGAAATTTGTGGTGACACCGTGATCAGTTACTGTCCTATAAAATGTCAGAGAGAAAAAAACACAGTAAAAAGATCCAAACAGATTTCAAAAAGACACACAAATAACTTTGGGACCCTTTGTATTTCTGTGCATCTTTTTTTAAAAAAAAAATTATTTTTTGGAAATGAGACTTAGGTTCAACCAAATACAAAATTCAGCTGTGAGACCCTGTCTAACCTCATTGATCACTGAAGCCCTCTATAGGCAGATAGGAGCAGCCTCACGCTCACAAGCCCTGGTCCTTACAGGGGACTTCGACCACCCCGACATCACTTGGAGGGACAATGCAGCAGAGCGCAAGCAATCCAGGAAGTTCCTGGAATGTGTCGATGACAACTTTCTCCTCCAAGTGATAGAGGAGCCCACGAGGAGAGGTGCCATGCTGGACCTTACTCTCACCAATAAGGAGGGCCTGGTAGGGGATGTCAAGCTCAAGGGCAGCCTTGGCTGCAGTGACCACGAAATGGTGGAATTCAGGATCCTCAGGGCAGCGAGGAGGGTGCGCAGCAAGCTCACTACCCTGGACTGCAGGAGAGCAGACTTTGGCCTCTTCAGGGA